GGCCGCCCCCGGGCGCCTGGCAGGCGAACGGCCACGCCCCCTGGTGCCCGACAACCTGAAAAGGTTGGGGACCACTGGTCTAGATGAACTATTGGTCTTGCCCAGGATGACCATTCTTATGTTTTAGGTTTTCTTTTGCAGGGATATACAAACACATTCCATACAAATTAGTTGCCTTAATACATGTAAGATCAAATATACCTGATATGTAATTTAACAGGTGCCTCAGGATTAATCCCAGGCAAAAGACAGTTTTGGTCTTCTTGGGTTTTTGCTTTATTATTATTCCCCCCTCATGGTACCTGCTATCCTTAAGATCCTGAAAGCAAGAATCCACTGTCTTGAGACGGAGACCACGCTTGGAACGAGCGAAGCGCATGTAATTGATCACTTCATTCTGGTGGTGATCATTTAGACCCAGCTCTGCCTGTGGATAAGGCACCACAATAAAGATTAACATATATATGAGATAAACTTTACATAGAAGACTTCAGTCCAGATTCAATGGATTCTAGGAAACTAGGAATTAAATACTTGTATGGATCTGGATCTTCCTTCCCACATCTTCCTTCTGTACTAGTTTTTAAAGTTTAAAAACTTGTTTTAAAAATCCAAGCTTCTCTGCAAATTATAAGTAACACCTTAGATTAAGGGTGGGCAATAATTTTTGAAGGGGACCACTTCATGAATTTCAGAAGTAGCAGCGGGCTGCTCCAGAAGTGGCAGGGCCTTGGGCAGAAGGAGAGGGGCCAGGAAATTTCTTGTGCTCCCTCACCCACAGACCCTGATTGGCCTGGGGGTGGGGGAACACGTGAAGTCTTTGCTCTCCATCCCCACTCTGCCAGCTGGCAGTTCCCTCTGGTCCCATGCACCCCTGGCAGGGGAAAGAAGATTTCACACAGTCTCCCATCCTCAGGTCTCAATTGGCCTGGGGGCAGAGCAGCACCAAAAGGGCTGCAGGCCAGATCCAACCCACCGAGGCTCGTTGTCTTGCTCACCCCTGCCTGAGATAATTAAATGTAAAAACATTTTACAAAAGGGATTGACTTTACACTATTGTTTATTTGTTTCATGTACGTTGTGCATTTCTTGAATCACCACAGACCGGGAAAATAGCCTTGGGCGCTCCTCTTTCTTCAAGGCAGAGGGGGGCAGAAATTGATGATTTTTGACCCCACTGGAGGCTGGGGCAAGGCCACAGTAGCGGGCAGGATCCAGGGCTGGGATCAGCTGTAGCGCCGCTTAATTAAACCACCTCCGCCCAGCGCCAGGAGCCTCGCAGGGATTTGGGGGCCGCGCCTGGGGGCGGGGAGCTGTGGGCCCGTCTAGGTATCAGCGTCTCGGCTGGGATCCAGTGGGGCTCCCCTGCTGGGCGGTGCGGAGCCGGGCCAGGCCAGGGCCCCTCGCTCCTGACGG